CTTTACCTGCTCATAAGTTGCTTGTGAAATGCAGGTTGCAGTTTTGCTATCTATATTTGTAAATAACCTTATAGACTCTATCGATCTACCCAGGTCTCCATTCAAAGTTCCATGGTAATTTGGCGGACTTCGGACTTCCCTGGTTAGACAGTGACCTCCGTAATAAGGCTCCAGTACTATAGACGGGAATGCAAACGCAGACGTTTTTTGATCAGCGCAAGCCCCCCTGTGTTCCAACAGAGAATAGGATAAAAGTAGGGGGGACATTGTCCTCAATCAGTCCGGCATCGATTGGCGCCGGCTCTTAGTATATTGAGAAAGCACAGAAAAATAAGAGGCTACAGGTGAAGCCAGCGCCTACGCGCGCGCTTTCGCAGCTATTTCATTTGCTTGATTGATTGAGCTCGGTTTCGACCACGGTCCTTCGCATCTGCGCAGAGGCCGCAGACTAGGAACGCTGTCTTACGAAAGCCTCAGTTCTCCAGAGGTTTCACCATTATGCGGTACTAGCGAATGATTACGCTTACCTTTCCGGTCTGAATCTGTCCGGCTCAGGAAAATAGCGTAGGTCATGGTGTACAGTTCCATATTGAGGCAGAATGACCGTGCCTTTTGGGAGACGGAATCCCAGCAATTCAACATCTTCCATTGTTCTAAAAATTGCATAGATAAAATCATGTCGCTTGAGGAACGGTTATGTTCTTATGAATGAGGGTCAAATTCCGTTCTGTCGGAACAGAGCGCATTGGCTAAGATATTACAGTTGCAAAAAAAAGAGGGTGAGAAGGCGTGGATTGGGGCGTGGCAAGGGGAGCGATTTCCACCAATTGTTGACGGCCCACGATGGCACCATTGGTGGAAAGACAGCCCTGACCCCGCTCCTGTCCACGCCCCTCTCTCTTTTCTGCATTGATAATGACTGTACAATGCGGAGCGGCTGGTGAAATGTCACTAATCGAAGGAACAGGTGAACGTCCATCTCGCTTGAGCTACTGCTGCGCCTCTTAACCAAACATCGACTGCCTTCGAAATTTACGATAGGATTGAAGCGAATGTTAACGTACCTGTGAGGAATAGCCCATGGTAGAACATTTGTGATACGTTGCAACTCGGCAATCGTTGCCTCGACGTATGGGAGTTGCTTTCGTCGCGAATAACATGGCTGCTCGTTTCCAAATACCTAATTATCATTTAATTCATTTAGGTAGTAAATGCTCGTCTGAACACATTTGCTGAACTGGGGAAGGGGGAGGGGGAGGCGGAGTTCACAGTCTCACCCTCTTAAATGCACAGTCAAGACCGGGGCAGTCGTATGTTGCGATTCAACGGTGATTGAACTTGATCGCTGGATGGAGGGGAGTTGTATTTCGCCTACTGGCGCGGAGATTCTTTTGTTGTTCTTGATTTTTTTTGTTTGCGCGCTCGAAACCACTGAATAGCGCCGCAAACTACTATTTCTGACTGGTAAACGAAGAGTTGATTGTAATACCCCTCCCCCTCGCCCGGTGGCAATTTTTCACGAAAGTTTAGCGAGATGATTGGTCGCTTGTGGAGGGGATGAAAAAATTTGGGGTGGCAGTATTTGGAAAAATTCTCTCTAACGCCGGGAAGGGCTCCTGTAAAGGCTGTTTGTATAGGAGGAGAAAGCCAACCACTGTGACTGCGCCCATTCGTCTGAGCAGGTGAAGGTGAAAGGCTTCGATGACAGGAACAAAATGATTAGCTGTTCCAGCCTCTCCGATCAGCCTAGACCGTGCCTTTGACCTGCTACAAGCCGTTGATTATGTACTTCAATGTGCTACCGAACCTGATTGATTTCGTCGTAACACTTCTTCTGAACGCTTGGGTGATAGAGTAGATAAGCGAAGCCCCATCGTAATGTGGTGACTGTCGTCTCCATTCCGCCTGTCCAGAGATCGCCAGATGCCAAAGCCAAAGTAAAGTCGCCCTTGTGATAGCTCTATTTATTCTTTTGACTATGCATTCTCGCTCACAAAAATGTCAAAACAGCTCCACGTTTTCTCATATTGAAGCTTAGCCATTATTCGATGTTGCTGCATTGTTATGCTTGTGCTACGAGGTTGTTAAGCAGAGACTGGCAGACAAACATTCCCACCTTTCTGACGTTTCGAAGGCCCTAAATCCACCACTAGAATTTGGCGAGCGGGTGCGCCTAGTGCCACATTGACTGACAAACTGAATGTTGCTGGAATCAGCAGATTCGTCATACAGCCAACGCGAGAGCACAGACGGAAGAGTGAGCGGAGACGCCGACAACCTTTACATAAGAGGGCGGAGTCCACGCAATAGACCGCTGAGGAGAGCATTATAGTTGCTGCATCTTTCCATAAATACGCAGCCTTGCAGTGCTCGTAGTAGTGTACGTAACCCCTCTTACCCTTGGACATGGGCAATAAATGAATCCACTAACTGAGCGGCAGCGTGCCGCTCGGCTAGAGCTCCAGTGAAAGAATCGGGACCTTTGAAAACGGTGGAGGGGGGGGGAGGGGAGGAGGGATGAGGGGGTGGGAGGTTGACCAAACATAATCCGTTCTCCAGCCATGTGATAGAAACATAGAACTGAATGACTATTCGAAAGCTCTGGGCTCCTGGACTGAAATGGAACTGCAATCAGTTCAAAGAATAATACTGGGACTCGCGGAATCCGAGAGCATTTGCCTTATTTACTTAGTGGATTTCTTTACAACCCTGTAACATTCCTTAATTTATCTTATTTTATATTTTATGTTCTGTAGTCACTTACTTGAAGTGCGGGTTATCTCGCTGAATTGCCATTTCTCGCAGATACGCCTCCATGAAATCACGTGGTTCACCATCCATCTGCAGTCGTTCCTTGTGTTCACGTATCACATTCAGAAAATACCTGAAATATTTTTCGCATTTATCTTCTATCTTAGTATCACAAGAACTTCAAGAATTTTCTTGGCTGGGCTAGGAAAGAAGTTACTAAGAAACTCTAACGGCTTTATGATCCTGTAAACTAGATGATTTTTCACACAAAAGCCGCTAAGTTTTGGATGAAGAAGTTCTAAAGATCCAAAGGCAAGCGAAGAGGTTCAGGTGAAGTTAATCCACAGTAGCAGCGGGGTACGGTCCTCTGAAAAGGACCTCGACTGCTTCTGGGATACGGGTAAAAGGAACATCATCGTTGATAGCGTCTTCCACTAGTAGTCAAATTCGCTGCGGACGGTTGGGCGTGTCAGCCAGTATGAGAGTGTCACCCCGTCAAAGGCTTCGCTGCCGTTTTGTTGAAACGCGCATGCGACAAAAGTGGTAGAAAACGAGTAATACGAAGGATATGATACAGTATTGTCACTTGCCCGCTTCAACAACTGGTGGAGAACGAGTTTGGCACCGCGCCAAACGCAGCCGCACTGACACGCCCAACCGTCCGCAGCGAACTACACTATACACTCCACACGAACGGAAATAGGGTGAACCATCGCGATAAGACTACTAGGTCAGTACGACCCTTTCTATTACTTGCTTTCATCTGGGGCAGACCCCTCTAACATCTTTCCGAACTCCCAAACTTCGTACCATTTTTTCCAATTCTTCTTTTTTTTCGCCACCAAAAAACTGGCAGCAAGTGGGAGAAGGAGGACGGATGGTCACGCCCATCAGCAGCTGATTTAAAACAAAACTGTACGTTCACGCTCAGGAAGACGCTGTTAATTTCCTATGCTGCAAAAGGTGAATGCGTCTGCAGCTGCAGTAGCGTACAACGTTTCAAAAATACACAGGAACGAGGCTGTAGGGTGTGGTACCCTATGCCGACTTCATACTCCGGTCGCGCTATTGTGGTTCTCAAGTTGACCAGGCATTTTTTGATCGCAAGGCTGCAACTTGAGAGTAAGCGAGAAATGTGGAAAGCCCCGCAGAAGGAACGCGCACTCAGTGAGAGGAAACACAAACAAGTGAGAAGACGCAGACAAGTAGCGCGTTTGGCCATTGTCAGGGGCCTTGCTGGTCAGGTGGCACGAGGCGGAATAAGGGTTCAACCCCATGGTATCAGTGTCCTCCGGCCACGTGTTCTATGCGTTTTCGAGCGGAGAAAGTTACCCGTGCACTTTTGATCTGAATACTGCAGGTGCGTCCCCGTTCACCCCGCACGCGGCAAGCCGTGTCCTCGAAGGTCCATGGAGGTGATGGAGTGTACAGTTTTCTTCAAATCAATCGCGTACCGCACTCAACGTTCCCTGTTCTTCGACCCTTCACTTGTCGATGTTTTCCCGTACATTTCCATTAGCAATTTGTCAACTGTTCGAGTTGTTTATGTCATGTGATAACAAACAGTTCATCCTCGCAACGTTGTGGCCGGCTGGTTTTTTGAGAAGGTGTAGCGCTCCGTGTTGACATACATTTTTGCACTGCATAGTTCACACATATAACCAATCAGTCATTCCGAAAACTCCTTTCTTTCCTGGAGTGAAGAAGAAACAAAAACATGGTGTGTTGTCCACTTCCTCGTGCAGGTCTTTGAACTGCAGGTATCCGGAGAAAGTCCACCTGGAAAAAGACGCGGAAAAGGAGTCGTGAAGATGTCGCCTTTGGTCACAGTGTCGACGCCTTCTGCAGAAGATGATACCGATGTTTGATGTGAATTTGTGGCAGAAGAACAGCACTTCCTACGATTGTGCGCGACCTTTTGTGACCACTGGTTTTTCTCCTATCGCATCTTCATCGTTTTTGTTAATGGAGCTCCGACGTGACGTTACTGCTCAGTAGCCCGGAAATGGTAAAATACAGTTCCAAAGAGATCATGCGCGCTAAATTTCTCGACAGTTCAAATGAGCGAAGGTCGCGGCATGGTCACGGATGGACGTAGTGGAACTGACACGTAAAGGTATCCGACTCGAAAAAACCCTTCAATGGTGGAAACTTCTTATCGGAATCATGTCGACTAATGAAAATCGGAAGAGAGATTCTACAATTCCATGTTAGCGAACAGTTTTTGGATCGGAGCAGCTTGAAGACCCTGATCTCAAAGCATCGACATTCAACGCCTCATTACTGCTCCACAGATAAGCTTAATTTTCTGGCCTGAAAGCCAGGCCATCGAGATGTCTTCTGAAGATCGGTAGCAGGCAGCAAAACAATGCCTAAGGAGCACAGACCTGTGGGAGCTAGCGATCAAAGGCATAAGCCACGACAAATTTGGTACTCGGTCTGAAATGGTAGCAGGGTGCTATGTAGTGGGGAAAATGGCGAAAAAGCGAAGTGAAACGGTCAAAAACCTGCAAAAAAGCCTTTGTTCTACACGACTCAGAAAGCAATTTTGGACGAGTTCCCGTTGGCATCGTGCCAATGACCGCTACGGTAGATACGGCTGCATGTGTGTACTCATATATCCATGCACACCGTAGCCGCTTCATATCCAAATGAAGCGATACGAGCAGTAGCAAGGTCGGACTTTTGTGCGCGATCGGGCGTGGTGGCAGTTGGTATGTTGCACTTTGATGGGGTGCTGTAATGGTACATACCTTGAAAAGACGCCACACAGCGCCTGCTCAGGGACGCCGAATTCTGTCCTACGTATTAACCCTAGAGGTCTTGAGATTTATCGTGCCACTTGCCCTGAACTAGTATCACTTCATGGTTTCACCAGATTGCACATATCTGTACTTGTGACTATACAGGACAACGGGAGGTAGCATACTTCATGAATGCAATCCGTAGCCGAACTGCACCGAATTGTGGTCTTTACTGAGAATTCAACCGACTGAAAGACCATCAAGGCAATAGTGTGTTAGTGATAAAGCAAACTAGATTAGTTCAAAATAGGTAATGGTTAAACTTCTAGTTACCTCTGCAATGCAAATCCGTTCTCCTTGTATCGTCTAAGAGCGGGAATTGGCAAGTAAGCAAGAATCGGATACGCGTTGACAAGCTGAACTGGTTTGGAGGCTACCTAAACAGCACCTACTTGCTTAGAAGTCCATCGGGAACAATCGCATGTTCAACTCACGTCAGCTAGCACAGCATCTATAAGGTCTTTAAATTTGCGGAATTGTGGATCGCCAAATTTGTAGGACTTTCCCAATACGAAGTCCTGGATGATATTAGCTACACACAAAGAGATAGGCTCGTCGAGATCCATCGGGATTTGCTGAAAGAAATGCTGTTAACAAGTCATCTACAAATTGGTCACAACTCTGATGAAGTAATGCCCGAATGTCGGACTCGTCAATCAGTCGTAAGGAGTGCGCCACGCATTCAACTTCTATTCACAACCGTGGAGAGAAGTCGTCCGCTATAATCTGATGGATGAGAGCTTTTACGCATATTCTGTCCCTATTCCATTGAGCTGAAGCATTCATGGGCCCGTTTTACGATTACAGTTCCCCAGGTCATTCCGATTTCAATCTGTTTTTAAATGCAGCACCTTCACACAGGGCACATTGTTGTTGGGGATCACCCAACAGGGTCGGCTCGTATATGGGCTGAGAGGAGTTTCTTGATGGTTCATTTCTCTTGTTTGAGGGACGTTGTAAAGGGGGGGGTCGTATTGGGAGAGGGGTGGTACTCCCCTCCCATCCTTCCGATAGAGGTTGCTGACTTGACTTTTCGTGGTTTTTCCTTTTTCATATGTACTGTTTACGCTCCCCCCCCCCCGAACCCCCTTTGACAGCAACCCCCTCGCTCAACAGCAAAATTCTTGGGTGAAAGTGGGACTATCTTCGGGGAATTTCGGAAAAAATGGTAAGAAGTTCGGCAAAATCTAAGAATTATTAGAGAGGGGGTCGTATTTTGTTCGCGGTTTTCCCGTTTTACATGTGCTACACCCCCACCCTCCCCTCCTCGCTCGACTGCTCGATCGTATTAGAGGAGGGGCCCAGGGAGTGGTGGAGAGTTGTAAAACCCCCAAAAAGGGGGGGGCAAAATCCTCAAGCAATGGTGTGTCCTGCTCCACAACACCGTGTGGAAACAAGTGCGTGAAGAGACTAATCATGGCAGGGAACGGCCTATGTTCATCCCTTACTGTGTCACTCGTTGAAATAACAAAAAAAGTCCAAACCTGTTTTCCCTCCAGTTTAGCATCAATGTGTTGAATCATATAATTGATGTTGTGGACAATTTTTTCTTCCATTTGTGTCCGACCGAGACCGAAATTTCTTAAGTGACAAATTTCACGTTACGCTCAATTCTGCAAACCATATTGCCAACAAAAAAATCTTTCACCTGAATATCTTGTGAGCGAACTCGCGGATTTGCTCCCAACGCTCGCCTTCGCAAAGAATAATACCGTCACCATGCTCGGGGTTTTTTGTGAACATCGACCATATGTACCCAGAAGGACGTCCGGCGAATGCAGGTCCTGAATGTAGGACCTACAGAGTTGAGCTCACCTACATACAAAGTACTTAGGTATGCCTACCTTGACGTATGAGGGCTTCTTTGAGCACTTCATGGCTTGCCATCACTATCATGGGATGTGGCAGCCATACGGTGTAAATGGGACCATAGACGGCATGCCATGAACTGAAGGTCTTGGCCGGGTTTCTCATATCGATCTGAATAATCTATCTGTTTCCGAGAGAACGAGGCATTTTGAAGAACTGCGATTGAAAGGAAGCACATGGAGTATCTCTCGCATGCTCATCGGCGGAAAGTGTTAAGAATGAAGTTTGATTTTGAACCTTTTATGACGTACGGTATAAGTTTCATTCTCTCAAAAATTCTGGTTGAATAAACTAAGCCTGGCGAAAGAGGTTGATGCTTTCGATATAGAAACTGGAGCAGAGCGACATAGGCTGCCTGCTGCCACTGTGAATAGGTCTTCTTCAGTGCAGATGCTGGGGCCGTGTCAGGGATACTGGGTTTGGGCAGCCATGCACTGTTCAAACCAGATTGACGTTTCCCTCTCCAACGATTGGTGGAGGAACAGGAGTGTCTCAGCGCCAGAGTCCTCCCTCGACAGCCTCAGATCCGCAGCGACAAGACTATCTGTGACAGAGCGTCGATATCGCAGTTCTGTATCGGTGCTATATCATGCAAATCGAATTACTTCTCCAGGCTTAGTTTGTTTGAACAAAGTCTGAGAGAAAAACCCGTACCGTATTTTGAAAAGGGATGAAAATCAAACTTCATGATGAATCATTTCCCCACCGTGGGTACGCGAAAGATGCTGCATGTTTTCCTTCTAAGGGACAATCAGAAGTATAGCGCGTACTGCAGATGCTGATCCGAAATATCCTCGCAGCCCACGATATTCTTTGATGATTTCAGTCCCGAGACCACTACTGACTTCAATAATTTCACTGGCTGATTTTCAACCCATTATGATGTCGGTTTGCATCCGCAAGAGCGGAACCGTTTTTTGTGCAGTCTGCGCTGCAATGTTTTTTGCTCTCACAATTGAGAACAATCTGTCGAAGCCATTTCACTCACGGAACTGATCTCGTATCAGCAGGAACACCTGCGCCATGGTTGACCTTCAAATCAAAACAATAGTCTGCAGAAATGATTTTGGCGCCGAAAAATTTTTGTGACATTATCGTTGCAGGCGCTGCAGACGAATGGAACAGGTCCAACACTTATTCTCGATCATTTTATCAGACTACTGGAATTTTCTATGCGGGTCCATCAAAGTCTCGCCGCTAGAAGACCAATTATGAGTCCCATGTTCCCCTTATTGACCCTTACTGACTTCCCGCGGTCAGTGAGGAAAAGCGAGGGAAAGACCGTCCTAGTGAGGATTTACAATTGAACGAGTATTCAAAGAGCGCAGCACAGCTGCGCGGACGAGAGAGCAGAGGCAAGGGATACGAGGGTCGCAAAACTGTCCAGATGACTCGAGAGCCCTCAGGTCAGTGCCACACAAACTGAACGCACGCCTGTGTTTATAGGGTTAAAGGAATACGTTTCCAGATGGGTGAAGCGGGTCGGAACTAAAAAATGGGGAGGGGGTCGGGAACTGCCTGTGCGAAGAATTTCTTCCCGAGCCGCAAAAATTTTGTTGACTTTCGGTTTTTGCCGTTTACGTCCTCTGTTCCTCCCCTCCCGCTGAACGCAGTTGTTTTGCGAAAAAAAAACCCGGACAATCTCCCGAGAGGCGGTGGCGGGTGTAGTAGGATGGGTAAAGGGATGCATTGTAGGAGGGATTTCTCAGAGGGACCGTACTTTGCAACAATTTGTCTTAGCGGCAGCATGTGACTTGATTTTCAAGAATGTCCTACAGACAGCGGCACAAATATCCGCTCGAAGTGTAGTCTACATGGGATATTCCCGAAGCAAAGATTTCGAACATTCCCTTACTTATGCGACTAGGGCACGTCATCACGTTGTTATCATTTCGTGAAAAATACGACTCCGCTCCTGCATGCGCCCTATCACTTTCCTAGACACTTTCCATTTTTTCCCGGAAAATTTCCAGTTTTCCAGCCAATTCAGCCAGTTTCGAAATGGATCTTTGGCGGTCCCTCTCCAAAACAAGAGAAATCAACTATCAAAAAATTTTTTTCTCTGACCAAATACGACCCCCCTCCCTCGCGGTCAAATACGACCCCCCCCCCGTTGTGATCATCACAACGATGGAGTGCCCTGTATGCGAAGCACAAGGTTGCTGCTCTCTGCACGTGACAGCGGTTCATGTGCGCGCTTTTACAAGTCTTTGGTAGTCATAAGAGCAGTAAACAGACAAAGCAGACACACCCGAAACAGTGGCATAGGAAATAACCTGTAATTGGAAACTCCCGTCAGCTGAGTGCGAAAAACACACACCCTTATTTGCTTGTACATGCAGTGATCTTGTGGACCACGTGACTACAAGTCGACAAAAATCAACTTCACTTGGCGGAAATTATCCTTACCTTCGCGCGATTCTATTGCATAGGACTTGGGCATGAGCGCCGAGTACACACGCCCGCACAATATGGGCAAAAAAATCAAGGCAGTTGACCCTCTTCTCAAACCTACCGATAAGGTGTTTCCAATCAGTGGAAGAGGAAGTGGTCCAGGAGGTAGATTCCGTCTTCGCCAATAGAACTGGTGGAAAGCCAAGACTGCTAATGGAAAAAGCATTGATGTGGTCATGGTAAAGTACCTGTAACTAGATTCTTAACAAAGTCTCATGTTTGATTATTCTTGAGCGAATGGATCACCTGAGCAGCAAGGCAGAAAACAATGCGAACAATCCGCACAGCCATGCAATGTCCTTGAGTTCCTTCTCCTCTTGAGGTGCATCCTTTTCTGGTGAATTCATTCTGGAGTGATTGGAAAGAATCTAAAAAGGAGATGATTTCTGAATGCTCTCTGTGTCCACATAGCAATATAGTTAGGATGTTCTAGACAGGCACGGAAGTTTGAAGACTGATTCGTTTAATGATATCG